AAGGTGAAAACAGCCATTTCTGCTTGATAAAATGATAAAATACTTAAATAAATTATTAATCAATCATAAAGTTGAAGTCGAATATTTTTTTCTCTTAAATGACTTGGGCACTTCTATACGTTTTTTTAAATGTAATCAGTGCTTTAGAAAACATGAATACATTTGCCTTTAGAGTGCAGTATGCTGCAGGCACAATGGACTGCAGCAAACTGTATTCTTAATTGGTTTAGCGTTGCTATTTTAAGCACTGCAATGACCTTGTATTACCACGGCTGTTTGTGTTGGAGTGGAAATTATATTGGAAATTCTGAGAGGAAAATTATGTTTGACCTGTAATTACGATAACAAAGGCCAATCATAGTATGACGCCGTTTCTTTTCTCGGCGGGTAAATTATTGGCCTCTACATTCCAATGCGGGGCTTTATGTTCGCGTCTAATTTTATCACTTCATAGTTGTGTCTTCTCGGACACATGGTAACCAGACACCCCCACCCAGGACACTGTCCTTTGTTCTACGTCACCCTAACGGACGCAGCGCTAACCTTTAGCTGACACCTGAGCCCCGGCCCTTCTCTAAGGTTTCAGGCCAATGTGAGCTGCCCCTCTCCCCCCGCCCAGAGCCTCGGACTGGGGGAGCAGCACACCTGAGCCCATAGCTCTGGCCGGGGAGCGCTCAACCTTGCAAAGAATTAGATCTGGTTTCCCACCGGCACAGAACACGATACGGCGAGCGTCTACATCCATCCCGTCTGTCCTGCCTCTGCTCCTCTGCCTCCTGCCTTCACGTCAACATCTCAGAGTGCAATGCAGTGCATCACTACAGTGTTTTGAAATGCCGGGTAGGATCTTATTAAAATGAAGACCTGATTTATGTTTGATGAGTGGGGAGAGAGAGGTCTGTCGGTGTCCTTTCTCTAAATTATAAAACGCTACAGAGTAATTGGGTTACTTACTAAATGGCCAACGATTTATAATAGCCGATCAAGTTAGTCAATTGAGACAGCGGATACCCGTCAAGACTTGCCTTTGATACATAAACTACAGTAGATTCCGATATAAAAAACAATGAGCAATGTTTGCTGTAGTCAAATATTTTGTCAACTGATAATCCAAAAAGGCACAATTTCAAGCAGAAATGTAAATAAACCTGATTTCAACTTTTAAATTGTGACGATTTTCTGATTTTCTTTCTCAGATGTTAGAGTAAAGTATTGCGTCGAAACAATTCACTGAAAGCAACTGAAGGTTAGAATTGATTAAACCTCGAAATCTGTTTATTTTTTGCAAGTAATCGCAATATTCAACAACAGTACACATAACCCGTGTTCTTCATATTGCACAGCCCTACTCCACATTTGAATAAGTTATATCAAATAACATAAAGTTACACAATGATACATTGTTTGTACCATCCTGTTGTTGCTTGGATGCCCGAAATAACATTCCTAACTTATAAGAAATGACAGAACCTTATATAAGGGCTTGTATCAAAAGAGCCACTTTGAAAGAATGAAAACATCACAGGCATCAGCAAAATCACTAGTGCAAATACCAGATTAGTCATCAAAGCTCTCCTCCTTCCTTAAAACAAGCATGACATCTGTGACGATAGCGCCTGAGAAAAAAGTACATCTGACACAAGGGACAGACAGACGGAGAGAAGGACAAATGGAAAGTGACCCAGGTGGACGGAAACTTCTTCAGTTGTCCTCAACCGGGTGGAATAGTGTGTGTTTGCTGACGGAGGCGTTTGTGTGTAGGTCTGTGAGTCCGCTGACTCACTGTTGTGGTTGGAGTGTGTGACTGTTGAGTGTGTGAGTGTGTCAGTGTTACTACAGACGTCTGTGTGTGGGAAGGCAGGCTTAAGCTGAAAACTCTGTCCTTTATGGCTTACAATGCAGCCATTCTGTAGTGTTCCTGTAAATGTTTTTCTATAATAGTTTGCTAACTGGTCATAACGTCAAAATCATGTTTCCTCCCAATGTTTTTCTAATTGTTCAAGTCGGTAATAGACTGCAACCAGAGAGGAACTTATCCAGAGAAATAGCAGGTTGACAGCGGCTGATTATTTATTCAAACATGTATAAAGGAGCAATTAAAGGGGCAAGCCTCAAACTGCCAAGTGAATAAATAAATACATGAAATGCAGCCGCCAGCATCAAATTTAGCATTCATTGTAACTGTAAAGGCTTGCGTCACTCTATGTTTTTCTTTAATACACTCCCTGTCTGCCTACGTGCTATGACCTTCACCAAGTGTCCTGTGCTATCATTTGCTGATGCTGTTACATTTCCCAGGTTATGATGGTGTTGTGACGAACATACACATGCTACAGCGTCTGCCCACTGATCTGGTCTAGCGAAAACTCACGGCAACAATGGACCTTTTGTTTTTCTCCAAAATGAACACAAAGCACTTTGGTATGAAAGCCTACTGTACCACCAGCTCCGCCATTGTGGCAACAACAAGCTGCTCTGTCCACTGCCTCTGTGTTTGCCTCATTAATGATGTAACTGGGATAGAGCCAAGGCAGGCCATTTCAACCGTGTCAAAAACAATTGCTCCAAAACACCACAGCCAGTAGCGCAGCGTTTTCTCTAATTAAAAATCCACCATTCACTTTATTTTCCTCAGGTTGCCCATTCAAGCACCACTGCTATTGCCTAATCGTTCCATCAAGTGTCTATAAATAGCAGCAGTCCACATAGTGGTTAACCTCAAGAGCTGTCCAACCAAACAGGGGTCTTGAGATTATTGTTTCTCATCCTCAGCTTTGGAGATATTAATAAAAAACAGGGGCCTCAGACAGGCTTAGATCTTGTTGGATGATAATAAAAACAAGAGCAGTCTCACAGGGAGGTGAGCTCAATCAGGGGCTGCTCCCCACGTGCGCTGCTTTTAATCTGGCCTCTCCCCCGGCGCTCTCCATCACTCTGTGTGCCAGAAACCGAGATTAGTGGTGTTCTTCGTGCCATTCGAAAGTCTGCTCTTTTAATGGTGCACAGACCATCCTTTTCTTTAGGTGAGTCTGGGAGAGGTGGGCTGATAAGAGCTGCTTGACAGGAAGCTTTAGTGAAGAATGTGCTCTGATCAGAGAGCCGTCCATTGGCTGTGTCAAGCCTGTCTGGAGAGGATGGCTAATCTTAGAGCATTCAACATTACATTAACAAAGGTAGATCACTGAGAAATAAAACCCCAGTCTCCTCTGGCAACACAATAGCCCAAGTTATGTGTTGTAAACAAAGAGACATTCAAAATATGTCATGGTCAGAAGTATCACCAGTCTGAACCCTGCATGTTCCACACTGCTGAGGTTTTACAAGCAGAAATGTTGTCCCTGCAACATATTAAAGATTATGACCGCCATCCTATAATTACGAGACAACTGCAGGGTGACACATTCAAAGTGTTTTTCACCTTGGCTGGTCTGCAGTGGTTGGAGAGTATAATGAGAGTTGGAAACAAGCACAGCAGCTGTTTGGCCTCGCTGGCTGAATGCAGACCACAGGGGTGGGTCAGAGGCTGAAATGCATAGTTTGATATGTGAGAAATATTTATCCGTAACATCAAATTACAAATCACATGCTGTGCTAACATGCAATTCATGCCATGACGGACGAAAGAAGTACATTCCACATTATACACACATACAATGTTCCTCTCAGCGGCTAGGGAAGGTTACTCTAGTAATGCACATGGAGTTGCAGAAAAGGGATAAAATATGGCTGACCTAGGTGCTGTGGAAATGAGGGTGGGGTGACTGGGTGCTTAAAACCTGCAACTGCTGCTATTGGCTGCAATAAATAGCTGAATTCAGCCTTCAACACACCAGAGCACATCAGCACTGAGGAGCCTATGATTAATTATATCTTCCTCTTATGAAAACGCTCAGTTATACTTTTAGTTGTTTGTGTCAGACTCTCAAACTGCACTGTAGCTTGGTTTCATTCTTTCTCTACTGCTGCTTCACTTCACTGTGATGAGTGAAATCCGACAAGCAGCCAGAAGGTGATGGAGTATATATATTCTGATATGAAATGTCCAAAGGGTTTAGTAGGTGAGCCAAGCTTTGGCAGAGCATGTGTGTGGCCTTCTAGGACCGAAAACTGGCACCTCTCAGTGCCAAAGGTGGGCTAACTATGAACACATTTACGTACATCCTGCTCTTTGACTGCGGGCTGCATAGCCTACTCAGTACCTGTACCTGTCCTCAGGGCAAGTCAATCAAATATGACTGTAGGGAGTGTTTAGGTTAGTAGAGTGTATGTGACCTGGGTGTACTTGAGTTAAGTCAATTTAATCAATACTAGAGAAAAACAGCTCATTACCTGCTTATGGTACCAATCACAACCATACAGACTATCATGGTAAGATTATTTATACTTCAGTTGTATAGAAAAACATGAGATGTTGGTATAATTATTACATTCATTTTAAATTGGGTTATGTTTTTTGCTAACCTATCTAGCCTCGCGCACCTGCAATGCTGTTGGGATGAATGAGCAGAAATTAAGAGGGGGGGGGGAGAAGAGGGTCTGTCTTCCACTGCGTCTAAAAATGCCTCACTTCTTCCCCTGCATGTGCCTTGCATGGACAATTTAATTCATCACACCCTCCCATTCAACTTGCGCATCATCCAATCCCCTCACGCTCCAAAACTTACACAACGATACATCAATTGGTGCATTAGGGATCTTTTTTGTGTGTGCGCGTGTCCCATTCTTGCCATCTCTACCCATTTTTGCAATTCACCAAGCGTCAATCAACGGTGCCGTGCGCGCGGCGCTGGACGTGTGTTCGCGAGCTGTGGCTCCCATTGATAAAAATCCTGCTCTGAGAGACAGGGCTGCATTCACGTCACCATGACACATGCAAGCGCTTCTTTGTGGCAGCATGCAGTCTGTCCTGAGCAAACTGATGCACAAACACACCACAAGGGCACAGCCGTAATGATGAGTTGCAGCGTGCATGTTGTGTTGTTGTTGGTGAAAAACCGTACCTGCATTTTGTCTGACGTAAACACTTCAATGTCTACTTCGCAGGCGATGATGGTCACCATCTCCAGTTTCATATTTATCGATGGCATCCCCTTTCGTGTTTAGGGGGGAAAACCGAAGCGGTGTAAAAGTCTTCTCTCTAGCAGCGTGTCGAAAATGTCTTTACGGCTCTTCCTCCAGAAACTTGAAGTTAAGTCCAGCTGAGTGTTGTGCTCGGTGCTGTGAGAGTTGCTGCTGGACTCCTCACTGCACTGACGCGCTGCTGAGAGTGATGCTGCAGCAGCAGCCGCACAAACTCTCCCTCTCTCTCTCCCTCCCTCCTGCCCTCCCCCTGGCTCCTCATTGACGTCATTACCATCCTCACGTTCGTCGTGTTTTACGCCACTACAGAGCTTGGCGAACCGTGCAGGGGGCACTGCAGAATTCACGGTCCGGTTTAGTCCGCCTTTTCTTGTATTTTCCTATGTGCTTTTTTATGTTCACTGAGCTGCTTTAGAAATAAATGTTTCATAACCTTTCTGAAAAAATCATTTCATCTGCCAAACTGTAGGCACATCAAGTTATTTAAGCTTCAGTGTGACCCTGGCTGCATTCAGACAGTAATTTACCTTTTATGCTATTGACTGGTGCTCTTATACACATTCTGTAAGATGAACGCATCACCACAGGGGGTGGACATTACACCAGGACATAGCCTATAGAATGTGCAGCCATTCAGGTCTTATGTAAAAGCCCTACAGTACAATAAGTGTGCTATTTTTTAAGGCTATGACACAGTGGATCAGAGGCAAAGGGTACTATGCTATCTAGAGCATGGATTGTATTCAACCTGATATAACATACAGTATATTACAGTTTCTCAAATCAACATCAGGTATTATTGAAAGAGTTATATCAAAAACTTAAAAAAAAAAAGAATGTCAAACTGTCAATTAATTGATCGACTAATCATATCAGCAGATTTGTTAAAGCTTTCCTCTAATCTAAATATTTTTTGTGAAACACTGTTGTTAAACCTCTACGAGCCTTGAAAGAAGACGTGAAATGAAACACAAATCACTCTTCAATTTTGTAAGGGGGAGGATTGTACACAAGTAGACATTGGGGGTCACAATCAAAATAAGTTGCACACTGTACAGGTGTTTTTGTTAATGTGGCCATAGCCCGTGTACCAGCAACATTACAAAAAACGTTACAAAATATACAGCTAGCTTACTCATAATATCCTTGTGATATACAATCATATAGGAGCTACTGTATATTGGAAAAGTTGTTTTACTGAATTGCATAAAATATTGTTTGGTATCATCAATAATGGGCTCACTGACATCCACTGAACTCTGTCACACACATAACATTTAGTGAAGAACTCTACTGCACTGCACTTTTTTTACCCTCGTCAAGGCATAATTGCATAACCATGCCTGTCAGCTGCATGCACCAGAGTTAGCGTTGCCTTCAGTTGACATGGTATGTGACTTCATGAGCCTAAGAATAACAGACAAGCAACATGGGTATAAGGTGGTCATGATGTTGTGTCCAGTGTCAAATCCGTTCCCTCACATAGCGTTAATGGAAAGACAGGGCAGATTTATTGAAGTTCCTGGAAAGACTCAAATATAAAAACTTTAAAATAAGTTCTTAGTGAGCTTTACTTTAAGTGCTGACTTGTTGATGTGAGATTAACTGTACCGTGGCTCTTGATCACTAACATTAAAGCAGCTGATGAAGCCGATTTGAACACTGCTGCTTTTTCTCTTAAAAATGATGATACATTGCGAGTTTTCCACTTGAGCTGAAGACCAATCATTAAAAAAATCCCCAGAGACATTATGCTATTGCATAATAAACCATTTCTTTTTATTTCCCCATCACTCAGACCATCTCTTCCACTCTCCCTCTCTGTTTCATAATAATTGCCCGGCCGGCCGAGACAGCTAAGTCCCCTATAAGCCATTAATATTAAGGCTCTAGGCGGTGAGGGCTATTTATGTCAGGCATGTGTGTGTCAGGCATTGTCCACACTGTGCAGACGGAGGACATGAGTGAGGTATGTGAGGATGACTGTGACATTCCTCCACCAGACAGCATCAGTCAGTCACCCAGTCTGGAACAATCGGACTCTAAACGTCAGAAAACGCCACAAATCAGACACTAGCATGTTCTCCTTCTGTTTGAGTTGATCTGGTTTACTCTTTCAAGCAAATATAGTAAGAGCAGGCAACAGAGAAGATGTTATTTGACAGGTTTCTTTAGAATTCAGCCCCTCAGCTCATTTATCAAAATCTCAGAAGTGATAAAGCACTGTCACCTTTTCTTTTAAATCCACTCTGTTTCTGGAGTCCAATGCAGCCTTAGCTTGGCAAACCCTGTGATCATTTATTTATGGCTTGTTGGAAAATTCTCTTTTCACATGCCCCTATTTACAAAGCTTTGGGTCAAGATGGTTGAGTTTCACAGTCTTGCTGATGGAAACTTCAGCACAGCAGATGCTTTTAATCAAAGCCCTCCTGCTTGTATTTAACGTCACATTTAGTCTGCAACAATATTGTTGAGTCTGTTCCCCCTCAAGTGCTGCGCTGTTGAGCAGTGATTCCTAAGCAGTGTGTACCTGTAACCGAGGGGACTGCAGTTGCTATGGGATATGTGGAAAGATTGTGGAGATGCTCCGTTAGACTTTTACTAATTTACTGTCACAATAACAAGCTAGCCATGAGAAGCTGCCTGGGAAGTTCACACCTCTGCCAGGCAGTGGTAACACCATAACATGTAATGGATATAGGTGAATGAAAAAGCATAAAGCAAATAATATATGTTTAAAGTAATGGGTATATGGTTTAAACAGCCAAAATAACATAACATTTAACAGTAGTGAAAAAAAAAGTTTCACTTTAACTTTTAACTTAAAAAAGTTCAAGTGTAATGGTAGAAATAGCAAAAAAATGAATAAATGGTTGAAATATCTTAAGATTATAAATAAATACCTGAAATAGTTATATCATTATCATCAGCTTTATTAAAGAGACTCTAGGTCCATTTCTAAAAGACATAAAACACTCGAATAGTGTTATTGTAGCTAAGACCTATTGATAAAGAGTTGCGATAGTTAGTTTAACTAATGGATTAATGATTTCAACACCCAGCTTCCTTCAATCCAAGCAAAGGAACCTACAACTGTTTGTAAGATATCTTTTTAAAAGTTATTATTTACTTCCAGTGGCCTTCCTCAAGGCAAGGCAATTCAAAGTGCTTTACAAAAAATGAAAGACATTAAGAAAATGGCATTTAAAATCAGTCATTAAAAAGAAAAGATAATAAAATAAACATTAAAAGAAAAAATACATGGATAAAAGTTACAGTGCAGTTTAAGATGTGAATAGTTCAATTAAAAGCAGCGGCAAAAAGAAAAGTCTTTAGTCTGGATTTAAAAGTAGTAAGAGTTGCAGCGGACCTGCAGGTTTCTGGGAGTTTGTTCCAGATATTTGGAGCATAATAACTGTACGCTGCTTTACCATGTTTAGTTCCGACTCTGGGGACAGAAAGCTGACCAGTCCCTGAAGACCTGAGAGATCTGGATGGTTCATAATTTAGCAGGAGGTCAGAAATGCATTTTGGTCCTAAACCATTCAGTGCTTTATAAACAGCAGCAGTATTTTGAAATCTATTCTTTGACACACAGGAAGCCAGTGTAAAGACTTCAGAACAGGAGTGATGTGATCCACTTTCTTAGTGTTGGTAAGGACTCGAGCAGCGTGTTCTGTGAATCAGCTGCAGCTTTCTAATAGATTTTTTAGTGAGACCTGTGAAGACACCATTGCAGTAGTCCAGTCTACTGAAGATAAAAGCATGGACACGTTTTTCCAAATCCTGCTGTGACATTAGTCTTTTAATCCTAGATATGTTCTTTAGGTGATAGTAAGCTGATTTAGTAACTGTTTTAATGTGACTGTTGAAACCAATAACTAATTTAACCCGCTGACAAGAGAGCCCACCTCCGAAGATCGTGACTGGCTGAGGGACAGACTCGGGGGCAGGTTCTCAGGAATTTCTTGGCTTCTCTCCCCCGAGCCAGAAGAGGAACACTACAGCTTGGAAACACTTACTGTTCCTGAAATTATCAAATCTGTTGGGCATCAGGGACCTGAGGCAATTGTGGCAAGCATGGCATTGTCTGAAGAGCAACAGAGGGCAATTCAGGTGGCTACCACTGGTCAGCGAACCAACCCAAACTGGCATTTGTTCAGGAAAGGAAGGTGCCTGCAAGCCACTTTGCCAACTTTGGAGCGTTCCTGACGTCCAAAGCAACACAATTTCTACCCTGCATGCATTGACTCTAAACAGTTGTTAACGTAACGTGCTTATTAACCGAGTAGTTGGTTTTTGGGTAAAAGCGTGAAGTTTTACCAGTGGTTAAACACGAATCAAATATACTGCTGTTTTTTTTTTTTTTTTTTTTTTTTTTTTTTGTGTTTTTTTTTCCTGGTAGTTTACGAACAAAGAAGTATATTTTGTTATTCACAGATCCACACATATTTGTTTTGACTATTTGTAACACAAAAGACGATGGAAAAACCCACAGCAACACAGAAAAGGATGTCTTAAAATGACCCAGCGTGTCTAGTTAATAGACCGAGATAATGAAATCAACAAAAAATTTGATTACTATTAACTTTTATTGTGAAATTAAAAACAGGAATCGGGTTAAAAGAACATAGTTTCCGGGATCTATTCTGAGGCCCCAGATCGGTGTCTTGGGTTAGATAAATAGGAAGAAACTAGCCATATGAGGTAATATTGAATGCATCCGAACGCTGAGTTTATTACAATGCATTGTGATAGGACTTTTCATAAGGAGTAAATAATGCACTAGGGTGAATAACAGTATGATTTTCGATTTCTTACAGAATTTTTTTTTTTCGATAGTGGAATACGCCAGTCGGGAGGTCAACGCCAATCACAGGGGGCCTAGAGCTTGAGGGCGCACTGTAGAAATCGATCGTGGGGTAGGTTTGAAGGCGAAAGGCGCCGGGGCCGTATGGTTGTAGGTCTCAAACGATAGCTGAGGGATTATGGTAGTCGTAAGGTGTCTTCGGCCATCCTAAACAACTATTGTTTCTTCGAGAGTCGAAGGGGAAAGAACCACCAAAACGTTGGGTAATTAACAGGGATATTCTGGTGTTTCTTGAGTTTGAGGATGTTGAGTAGTGAAGATATCACGTTGTAAATCAATCGACAGTAACGGAGAATACTTGATTCCGGGTGTAAGATATTCTTCCTGTCGCATTCATACATGGGAAGTGGATA